TTCTGTTATGTCTGGCCTCAGCAGTGTTGTTGGGTTCAATTAGTGATCAATTAATTTCTTCCCAAATAAACAAACAAACAAACTATCCCATTTTATTTGAAACAAATTAAAACCACCTTGGCTGTATCCATTGGCTCTTGTTTTAAATTAAAGTTTAAAGATTTAAATGTATCTGCCCTTCAAAATTCAATTGAATTTCCCATTGTGCACTTGAACTAGCAATTTGTATCAACCAACTTTATTAATCCCAATTTTAGAAACAATTATGTCTAGGCTTAGTGGTTTTAATTTGTGCTGTTATATTAAAGCTTCAAATGATTGTCGTCAGTTCAAGGTTCTCCTGTTTTCAAAGACCGTCTGCTCAAGACTTCCAGTTCCCTCTCTGTATTCTTGAAACATGTTTAAAATACAACCAAAAAAAAAAATCACAATCCACTGTGGCTCTGGAAGAAGTCCAGTGTGTTAATCACATTTAAAGAACACAACCCACCCCACAGAAGGTAAGAGAGAAGATTGAAAACAGTCAGCATTGAGAGTTCACTCTGCTAGTCTCAGACAGGGCACGGCCTAAGTCATTCGGAGACATCATGTTGTACTTTCACATATTCAATTTAAAAAGACTGTCAACAGTCTTCAGAAAGTCTCAAACAGGTATTTTAAATTTCTATTGTTTCCAGAATATCTTTCTAGTCCCTTCTTTTAAGGCCACTTTGAAAAAAAATAGGAGCATATAGAAAAAACATTTATTACAAATTTGGAGTTCAATTGGATGTCTTCTGAAAAGGTTTCTCTCTGTTTTGAGAATAAGCTAAGCTTTTTATTTTTATTCCCACATCTTTTCTACAGTAGCTTAAAAAAGAACATTTTTTTAAACTTTTCAATTAAATTAGATTTGAAAGTCTCGAACAAATGATGTTTTCGGACTACTCCTTGTTTTAACATTGATTTCAGTCAAATGTTAGGAATGTTTTCAATGTAACTGTCATGGGAACACTGTATGAACACAATTCAATTTTCAAGGAGGGCTTCCTTTAACTTCACTGGGGGTGAAGGGACTTTTTAATCTTTGCCCAAACTGTGGCAAAGAGTCAGAATCCTTTGTCTGTGCCTTGTAGCTCCTCGGTGATATTACACACTTGTGTTGTCTCACTGCACAGGGCTGGAACAGTTAGGGAAATATTGGCAGCTACATTCTCAAGGTTACCAGGGCAGAAGCTAGGAATACGCAGCGAGTAACTCACCTACTGACACCTCAAAGTCTGTCCACTATCGACAAGGCACAAGACAGGAAATGGAAATCTCCCCACTTGCGTGGATGCATGCAGCCCCAACAACACTCAAGAAGCTTGACACCATCCAGGACAAAGCATCTCACTTGACTGACATTGCATCCACAAGCATCCATTCCCTCCACCACCGACACTCAGTAGCAGCAGTGTGTACTATCTACAAGATACACTGCAGAAATTCACCAAAGATCCTCAGACAGCACCTTTCAAACCCATGACCACTTCCATCTAGAAGGATAAGAGCAGCAGATATATGGAAAAAACCACCACCTCCAAGTTCTCCTCCAAGTCACTCAACATCCTGGCTTGGAAATATATTGCCGTTCCTTCACTGTCGCTGGGTCAAAATCCTGGAATTCCCTCCCTAATAGCATTGTGGGTCAACCTAAAGCTTGTGGACTGCAGTGGTTCAAGAAGGCAGCTCACCACCACCTTCTCAAGAGCAACTAGGGATGGGCAAGAAATGCTGGCCACCCATCGATGCCCACATACCACATGAATAGGAAAAAAAACCTGCCTCATCTTACAGTACAACTGTTCCACATGCTGTCTGTTCTGTCTGACATGATTTGATTTTTGTCATTGGATAATTCTGTTCAAAGAGAATTACTTGTCCAAAATTCCTACCTTCTCATTTTAGAGCACAAATTCACACCAAGAAACATTTAAGATGAGGAAATCTTAGAATCTAGAAGTGAAGATTGATTTACACATTACAATAGTATTTGGAAGTTCACTCTGGCCAGAAAATGAAATTCCAAACAAATAATTTAATCACAAAGGTTTTCAAATTCACCATTTACCCAGGACTCTCCTCAAACTATATACAACACAGAGAGTGGAGCATTTTAAGGAAATATGTTATGCCATTTAACACAATTCCCTTCCTTCAATTGGTTTCATATGACTGATTTTCATCAAGTTTGTAAGACACTAATTCCAAATAAACATCCTGTAGCAGGCTCCTTCTGAACAACCACTGACTGTACTTTAAAAGGGATGTCAACTCAATCATATATGTTCTAAACTGCCCCAAGCACACACCACACTGTCCCATCACCATACACTCTCAAAATATAAACTAAACTCTAATCCTCCCCAGACCTCAAGCTCCAGAGAGGAAAAACACACAAATGACATGACAGCATTTTAGCAGCCAATGAACAAAAAAACCATATGAGACAGACCTCAAAGAGTTAACACTATGGACCCTCGAAAAATTCACATCCAGAGACGTTGTATAAAAGCTGGTCCGTCTCTCGCTCTCTCTCACCCCCTACCCCCACAACCTGTGGACATTTTCTTCTAATCACAATTTTTAACTTGATGCTTATCCTTTACTATAATGAAAATTAAATAATTTCACATCCAATGATTTACATTCCAGAACGAGCAGGTACAAGTCAGAAAAAGGTCACTGGACCCGAAACATTAATTCTGATTTTTTTTCATCACAGATGCTGCTAGACCTGCTGAGCTTTTCCAGCAACTTCTGTTTTAATTCACAATCTGCAGCCCTTTGATATAGTGTACCTTCCTCTTTAAACGTGGAATGACAAAATGAATTCGATCCACACTCAGAGTCCAATTGCAGTATGAAAGAGGTTCATTGCAGATACCTCTCACTCTGCCGCTCAATCAGCTGAAGCTAATAAAGAGCACACTTTCATAGGATTCACCTTCCAAGTTTCTCCAGATCAATCGTTCTTTATTTGCTTGGCTGTAACCAATTTGCAGGCTATACAAGTCTGCTTCTGCTCAGATTTATCTGCTCTGTGCTGATCTAGGGAGAGACCACATACCTGTTCCGAGTGTGATAAGAAATGTGCTCAGTTTTCCCAACTGCTCAGCTCGTCCAGTACAGTTACAACATTGGCATCTACCCAACAATCTGGAAAATTGCCATAGTATGTCCTGTACACAAATAGCAGGACAAATCCAAACCAGCATTAATTTCCCTACCAGTCATTAATTTCCCTACCAGTATACTATCAATCATCAGTAAAGTGATAGGAGGTGCCATCACCAGTGCTATCAAGTAAAAACTGCTCAGTGACGCCCACTTTGGGTTCTGCCAGGGCTACTCAGCTACTGACCTCATTCCAGTCTT